AAGTACCCTGGGGGGGGGGGTGGTTGAATAGGGTATTTACTAATCTAATCCGAATACGATGCCAAATTAAAACTTATTAACTAATTATCCTAGCAAGAATGGTATTCAAAAGGATTATATCCAAGGATGAACAATATGACAATAGGCGATATAAACAATGAGACGATGATAAGTGCGCCAATGCCAAACACAAACAAACAATATGATCACGGAGTTCGGTCAACCCTCGACTTACGTCTCCGCTCCTCATCTTGAGGAGATTTTCCACTATCAATCAACACAACTACACAATCGGTTTTCAAAGCTCATCGAAAACTTTTACAACTCACACATTGACAATCACATAATACATTTCTCTAAGTGTTGGCCGACCCGTGTCACCTTCCTCAAGTGCTTGGAATTACTATCTCTCCCTAGGCTTTTACAACCAAGTCACTCATCTTGGAATTGAACACGTTCTTCTCCCAACCACTCCTCCAAGTATCCTTGTGTATTACAACGTGTTTCATAATAAGTGCAAAAAAGAATTATTCTCTAAACATGTTGAGAACAAAAATTAAGCTCTCTTAATGAAATACTCCAACAACCCAAATATAAGATATGTGATATACTTAAGCTCAAATGGTTGTGTGTGTAAATAATGAACAATAACAAAATTAAACTCAATTCAATCTAGCATAAAAATATGAGAATCAAAATATAAGATTAGCTAGAAGAAAAAGTTAGAAAATTTTCTCTAAAAGACAAAGAGTTGTAGATGATGATTTTGAGGTTGAACTCCTCAAAAATGAAATTTCGATTCTCTTCTTTGTGAAAATTTCTTCACATAAACACACCAAAACTTAGATTTAAACTGGTATAAACACACTTTAGAACCTTGTGAAAACTCTTGTTAAAAACCCAAGTGCTAAGGGCTATTTATAGCCTCTCAAAAGAATCAGCCAAAACTAGTCGTTATGCAAAAAAAATCTCTGATTGGTCGACTGGTGACATGTATCGGTCGACTAATAATATGACCACTGGCTGATCTAGAAAAATAGCAAAAAATTGGTCGACTGATGATACCGTGTCAGTCGACCAGTGGATGCTCATCGGTCGACTGATCGCATGTGATTGGTCGACTGATAAGTTTGAAAACTCGGACGCTAAAACACTCTGATCAGTCAACTGGTGGAACCTGTAAAACCCTATAATTTTTGATATATTGTGATAAATACCATTTCTTTGATGATTGATTATGCTAGAAATCGATTTGTGATCGATTAAATACATATACGTGTGTATATAAGAATACAGGAGCGAATCATGCACAAAACCATGCACAGATACAAAGTCAATCTGCATTCTGGTTGATCGACCGGCCTAGGCTGATCGGTTGACCGATGATACCTGACTGATCGATCGATGTCTTGTGGTAGGTCGACCGATGTGCTTCTAGAGCTCCAGCGATTTGTTTTCAGGTAGGTTTTGTTTGGCTTCGAGTCTAGTTGTGTACTTAAGTATATATACTCATTTTAAACCTCTTTTGATCTTCTTTCACGTAATATATCATTAGTCACCTTCCCTCTCAAACCCTAACCCTAGATTGTGAGTTTTTGGGAGTTTTCTTAAGATGTTTATCGAGAGGAAGACAGGATTCGTGATCTTGTTGAAGGAGGATCTTGCACGCATGCGTGTTTGGGAGTTTCAGCACAGTGTTTGAGGCAAGACCATCTTCCTCCTAACCTTTCCCTATAGTAACTCATGATTTAACGTGTTTAATTGATTAATCTATTGCTTAAAGTTTAATCTAATGTGATAAAATATAGTTTATGATGTTAGATATTAAACTAATGAAAAGATCTATAATTTAAATCTTTGTTTAATAAGAATAGTTGATCATGATCATTAGGGATGTTTTTAATTTGTTAATTGCGTTTTAATTTTCTTCGAAACCCTAGTTAACCAAGTTAAATGAGAATTTTGCTAATTAAGATGTTTAAACCCTAAGTTTATGAGACGTAGGTGATGTAATCTTGTTTAAACTAAATCTATATTTGTGTAATGATCAGAATTAATCATGCTTATTAATCATGTTGATAAAATATGCCTTATTTGAGAATTTTGTTAATTAGAATGTTAAACCCTAACTGTTTAATTTTCAATAGATAGTAACCATGTTTAATTTAACCCTTGTTAAGTAATCATGAAAGTTAAATCATGTTTTGCTTTGCATGCTAATAAAATTTTATTTTGGAGACAAGTTACAAAATATAGAAACCTGAGAAAACTCGAGATAGTATAATAGGTCGACCAATCCCAAGAGATCAGTCGACTGATTGTGTCACCATGGTTTTTAAACCCTTTCTGGCTGGTCGACTGATAATAATCAACCGGTCAACCGATGAGTTCTTCTTATAGTGCATTTTGTACACGTTTGCCATCGGTCGACCGATGCTTTAGAGTAGTCGACAGACACCTTGTTTTGTTTGTGATGACTTCTCTTGCATGTTTAATCGTGAACGTGGGGTTCGAGCCTCACGACAACACACGTGTAACCATGGATGTACACGAATTGAGTAATAACACATATACGGATATCCCGAAGAGGATTATTACAGGTATTGTTTCGATCATGTTTGAGATAATAATTAATTATAATACGTATGCATGTATGGATATCGTTGATGAGCACAGCTCAGTAATACTTAGGATAGTGTGTCAATATGCCGTTAGTACAGGCCATTGACTCGTGATTTTAGGATACCTGATTTGATAGTCCATCCTGCACGGTGTTACGATGAGGCTAGAGAGCCGTACTTCTAGTATATCTAATGTGGTAGTTCATCCCGCATGGTGATGCGATGAGACTAATGAGTCGTGTACATATTTAGGATGCCTAATTTGGTAGTCCGTTCTGCATGATAATGCAATGAGTTATATAACCTTACAATATATTGTTTGTGATATATTTGATAGCATGAGTCTTTGACGGAAGTCATTTATGAATATGATTCATCGCTGAGTTATATTATGACCGGATTACTTCGCGTTTGGGAGTTACAGGAGATTTAGTTCTTGTATCCACATCATCTACCCAAGGGTAGCGACTTCGCGTTTG